TCTCCTCTCCTTCCTGGCAGGGTTGGAGAGGGGACAGCTCACCTCAGCTCCGCAGATGATACATGTGCTAAGGGGACAGCGGGGCACCAGCTGGACAGATGTGGGATATGAGACAGACACACAAAGGCACACCATGATCAATACCGACCATTTATTACCTCTGCATCTAATCGAGGGTCCTTCCTTTCCTTCCTTTCCTTCCTTTCCTTCCTTTCCTTCCTTTCCTTCCTTCCTTCCTTCCTTCCTTCCTTCCTTCCTTCCTTCCTTCCTTCCTTCCTTCCTCCCTTCCTTCCTCCCTCCCTTCTTCCCTCCCTCTCTTCCTCCCTCCCTCTCTTCCTCCTTCCCTCTCCTCCTCCCTCCCTCTCTTCCTCTCTCTCTTCCTCTCTTTCACAAAACTCTCTTCTAGATATCTGCACAGATGTTCCCTGAGGGAGATACCCTTTTGTGCATGTATGTAAGACCCCATACACAGCCTTTTAAGAACAGCCTTACATGATGCCCACGGTGAGAAATTTGCAAGTGATTAGATTGTCTAAACTAACATATCTGTCCTTATAATATAGTCCATACTTGATGTTGCAGGACATGATACAAATAGGTTTGTATGTCTGGACCATTTTCAGTGGAAACATAAATATTTCCATAATAATGAAAGTTTGAGATGGGTTACAGACATTGTCACAGGGAGATGTAGTTGTTACTTTTCATATCGATACTACTTTCATTCTGACAGCATTTGCCTCTTTGGGTGTGCTTTCATGATCTTTAGTAACGGATCTGTGCACTATTTGATTACTAAGGGGTAGTCAGGCTTGACTGCGTGTTCACATGCCTGATGAATTAGCAGAGCAAGCAATACAAAGTTCATGCTGGATTTATGCTTTTGGCTGACTGTGAGAGGACAGACAATACTCTACCTGGCATACAGCTGGTTAGTGAAATGATGTTCCATCAAAGTGTCAGGAACAGATTTGAACTGACAAGAGTAATTTTTGTCCCAGATCAGTTCTTTGTCATGTTATTGTGACATTAGATGGATTTGCTGTGTCATTGAACCAGTATCAAGTTGAATTTTTCTCTATCACTGGATGAAAGCCATATTCACTGCTGGAGAATGGGATTCACAGAAGTCTGTCTGAAATGAGGGCACATACACAGTACTGAAAGGAGTAAGTAGATATGCTGAGGAGTGCAATGGAGCTTGGTTATAACTTTTCATATACTGCATTTCTTGCCTGGTGTTGGGTGTTGCAACTCACCCTGAAGGCTTTTGTGGATATGTGAGAGTCACCAATTATGTAAATGGAGAGGGGAAAAAGTAATTCCCTTCTCTCTTTGTATATATGTATAAATGTATAAAATGTAGAAAGATAATCCAATCTAGTGCACAGAATAATGCACAGAGGCAATTTGCAAAATCTTATTTGAAATAAATATCTATTTTGAAATTGGCTTTCAAATGTTGCAAAAGCAGTTTTTATTTGTAAGCGTGGTTCAAATGCATGTAAACAGCTTACTCATAACACAAAAGTTAATGGCTTTGAGGAACTTAAATGCCATTCTATTTACAGTTTTGTGACTGAGGACTTCCTTTGCTGTTATATTTCACTATTCTTGTTACGCTTCCTTGCTTCATATGGATAGTGTTGTGCCTTGTGAGCCTGATTGCTGAGAGGAGCCTTCAGTTTCAAGAGGACTTTGATTCAGCACACCTATTTTCATTGTCATGAGTTAAGGAACTGGCAGAGATTTATTCATTTTACTTTTTTGCAAGGCTTAAAAAAATCAGAACATTTATAGACTACTATTCTATAGACCAGTAGTCTATAATCAGAACATTTATAGTCTAAGTAAACATCTGTTGAACAGAAAAACTGTAGGTAAGCCCAAAGTATTTGAGCTGGCTGCTTTTCTATCCCTATACTTTTAACATAAAAATGCTTATGTAAGAGAACTACTTGCATTTTGTGAATAAAGAATGGATTGATTACTTTGGAAAAATGGCCTTCACAATTATTGACTAGGTAAACTGGATCCAATCTTTGAAGTATGGGAGGAGGAGCACAACATGCGGTAAATCTAAAACCACATAGAGGAGAGTGGTGAAATTACTACAGGGCAATATTTTTGAGGCTGTGGATTGCATCTAGTGTTCCAACCATTTTGTCATACCATTCATCTATTTGAAGACTGTCATGTTTTTCTGAGAAATTCTTGCTCTCCAGCACCCGGGATAAGTCAAACATCTGGATACTTAATGCTTGCAGCATTAAAGCTGTTTTGACCAGTATAGTATTCTAGAAGTCTTCTCCACTCTATTGGATGTTTTTCAGGGTCATGTTAAAATGTATGTTCAGTATTTGTTTGCGAGTGCACCTTTAATGCAGTGACACAGAGTGCTTTGTTTGCCCAACTGGTTTCTAGACAAAGTCCCCTCATCCGCTCACTTGCTCGCTCACTCATCCATTTCACTCCTTCATGCGTTGCATTTCCTTCTGTCTTTGCAGATGTCTAATTGCTATTGTAAATACAGGGTGGAGATTAGCCTATGAGTGTCAGTGAGGTCCGTCCCAAACTGCAGTAGCCTTTCTCTGATTTACTCTCTCAAGTCTTAAAAAACAAACAAACAAAAAAGCCCAAAACAAACAAACAAAAAAAACCACCCACCTGTTGTAGAAAATGCTGTTTACCTATTATTTTGGACAGATATTTAGCCCTAGTGATTTTCATGTCTGTCTCCTTTATGTTAGCATTTAATTTTCCCATCCAGAGGGGAAGGAAGGAGAGACCACAGAGGTTTTTCCCACAGCCCCATAGAGAATGATAAAAAACTTAAGCCTTCCATGTGACCTCTCTAATTTTAAAAAACAAGAGATTGACTGTCCTCTGATGTCACACGGACATCCACTGATGTCAGTGAGAATCTTTACTTTTAATGTCATGTCTGACTTGGCTCCAAAGCAAGATACAAAACCAGTCATGGTTTAAAAACTCCGCACCTCTCTCATGCATTTACAATCAGCCACTTGGTCATAGGATGATAGGACAGGTCAGGTAGGAAGGGACTTCAGGAGATTTCAAGCCCCCACCGCCAAGGCTGCCACTCATTACACTTCCCCAGCTAGTTCCTCCTTGCTAGCGAATAGCAGATCCAGCTGTGTGCCACCCTGGTATGCTTGTTCCTATGTCTGTTGTCAGAGTAAAGAAGTTTTTCTCCTATACGGTCTGAATGTCTCCTGTTTCAGCTTATGCTCACTGTCTCTGGCCTTCCACCAAACACTCCTATGAAGAGCCTGTCTCAGCTTCCTATATAGCTTTCTCTTTGCTGCTGGGATGCTGCTGCTAGATCTGTGACTTATCCTCACACTCCCTGAAGGTCTCTTGGAACTCTTTCATCAAGCACAGAGAACTGGAAGACCTTGACAGTGAAGACAGAGGCAAAGAAGGCATTAAGTACTTCAGCCATACCTGTATCTGCTGTCACTAGATCACCTGCCACATTCAGCAGTGAGGCCACATTTTCATTATTCAGCCTTTTCATACTAATGGAGTGGTAGATGTTCTCTGCATGGGCCTTGACATCCTTTGCACGTTTTCCTAGACCATGCTACAGGGCTGGATTACATTTTGAAGTTCTTCCTTTGTAGGCTGTTCGTGCTTCCAACTCCTCTACACTGCCTTTTCGTATTGTTGTTCCATTGCAAGTCCCTTCCTGATATGTCTACTTGTTTTTCTGAGAAGTGGGATGGATAAGTTTTATTTTTGGAAGGTGCTGTCCTTAAAGACTTGCAGATTTCTTGAGCTCCTTTGCTCTTCGGAGTTGCCTCCCATGGGATCCCATCTACTAGTTTCTTGAGTACATGAAGTCTGTTCATCTGAAGTTCAGGGTCTGTACTCTGCTACTCCCCTTCCTCACCTCTTTAGGAACTGGATCACTACTTCGTGATCCCCTCAGCCAAAGCTGCCACTCATTACACTTCCCCAGCTAGTTCCTCCTTGCTAGCGAATAGCAGATCCAGCTGTGTGCCACCCTCAGTGGCCAACCAGCTATTGTATCAAAAAGCTGTCACTGACACCATCCAGCATTCTTTTCAACTGCTTGTACCCCGCTGTGTTGCTCTTCCAGCAGATGTCATGAAGATTGAAGTCCTCCATAAGTAACAGGGTCTGTGAGCCAGAGACTTCCTTTACTTGCTTAAAGAAGATTTCATCCACTTACCTTGTTTGGGGGGGTCTGTGACATACTCTCATCATAATGTCACCTGTGCCACTGTCCTCTTCTCTGACCCCGACTCAAAAAATTGCAACCAGGCTCTTGTCAATCTCCATATATTCAACCTGCTCCTGCACACAAAGTGAAACTCCTCTTCCTTATTTTCCCTGTCTTTACTGACATGTTTGTATGTGCCCATTGCAACATGCCAGCCACGTGAGCTGAACCACCACATCTGTCACTGCAGCAATGTTGTGACTTTGTGATGGCACGCAGAGCTGTAGTTCCTCCTGTTTGTTTCCTCAAGATGTCATGTTGGCCTCTGTCCCCTGCAGGGATGCCTCTGTTAGCTATCGCCCTGCTTTTCTTCTTGTGTGAGCTCTTGGTTGAGGATCAGCTGGCTCTGAGGCCTCTCTCAATGAGAGGTTCCCAGAGCATGATACATCTGCTCTTTTTCCTCCAGAGGCCACTCAGTGCTGTAGCTCTTAATTGCTCTTTACAATATGTTCCCCTGTGCCCTGCAGCCTCTCATCCCCCTAGCCTATTCAAGTGCATCTTTCTTTCCTTGTTTCTTGCCCTGTGTCTTGCTGTACACTCAACACCACAGCCTCAGTCTGAAAAAAATGGTTGTAGCCTTGCTGTGGTGCTGTGGAGCTGGTGAGCTGGTGAGCTGTAGGCATGGGTCATGGTCTGCCACCTTCTCTGTCACTCTTACCAGAAAAACTGAAATGAGGAGGAGGAGGAAGCGATAGGCCTCCTTACACTTGCAAACAGCTAAGAATTTGGCATTTTGTGGAGGAGAAGATTGCTTTAAATTGCTTGCAAAGGATTAAATAGGCTAAGCCTATGATGTCCTCCGAAGCACAGGTATTTGGTCTTCTGTATTCAGGGTTTACACTTGTGTTTTGATTAGTTTGAGTTCAGAAGGTATTGATGACATTTCAGCTGTGTATAAGCTTGAATTTTAGAGGCTCTGTAATCAGCAGCATTAAGAAATATACATCTCTGTGTTTTAACTTAATTCACACAATTCAGTTTAAGGTATAACAGCAGGCACAACAAGGCCTACATTTTACAGTAAAAGTATATATAGTCCAAATCCAGCTGACCACTAGGGAAGTGAAAATGAATTCTGGTTTTAGCTTCAAGAGAATTCAGTGTGCAAAAATGCTTACATAACGCTAATATGCAAACCACTTGTCTTTTAATAGAGTTTTTTCAGACTTTTCAACCTCAGTAGATAAGGATCAGCTCTTAGGAGAAAAAGAGATAATTTACTTAAGCATATGCATGTAGTACTGCTTATGGGGAGTCTTTTACAGGTTTTCTTTTCAGGCAAAAATATACCTGCAGATCAAGGAAAATTAGCAAGTCCAGATGTAACAGCCTAGGAATACTGAATTATGTTATTTTGATACTGTGATTTTTTTTTTGATGTTTCACTATTCAGCCCATACGGAACCTCAGTCTTTTGGCTCAGCCTACGAGAGGTGAGTTTCTTCCCAGAGAGGTGACCTGGACACGCAGCATGCTCAACAGCACCGCCGAAGCTCTGCCGACCATGGCAATATGCAACAGGACGGCGTCCTCACAGCCATCCAACTCACAGTTCTCGCTGGGAGTGCTGGTGCTCCTGGCTGTCCTCATGGTGCTGCTCGCTCTGGTCACCATCCTTGGCAACGCCTTGGTGATCCTTGCTTTCCTACTGGACAGAAACCTCCGGCATCGGAGTAATTACTTCTTTCTCAATCTTGCGATTTCTGACTTTGCAGTGGGTAAGTTGCAAGGGTGGAGGCATGGAGTGTTTGTTCCTTTGCAATGTTAAGAGAAGCCAGGAAGTATTTTGCTGGGTGGTTTCTTCAAAGATCAGTATTTCCCGGCTGTGTATCTAGGGGAGAGATAAGGAATGTGGAAACTTTAAGTGTTTTAGCAGTCTTTTATTTCCCAGAAATGCATTATAATGAGGAATACATCTGTTGTTGTATAAATATTTTTAATGTTACTGCTTCAGAAAAAAAGGAGCAACCACTGAATGTGAATACTGACTCAAAGAAAGATTGTATGCTATTAGTTTTGATTTACCTCTGCTCCTCCTGTTAAATTATTCATTGCAGACTCAAAATATCCTTATATTTGACAGTGTAACCATGTTCATATACAGCTACCTGTGTTACATGAAAGTAAATAAATGAAGTCTCTACATAGTGCTGATGGCTCATTATATGGAGTGCTCTACCCTATGTTCTTTTTACTGGATGGACCTCAGGGGCAAGCTTTGGGCAGACAGATTGTCCTGCTGGTAGCAGGAGTCTTCTCCTCCCTGTTTTCCTTATTAGCCTCCTCTTCCCATAATGTCATTGCAGAAGTATGTGCGTGTTCCCCATGGGTGTACAGTGAAGCCAGCAGCAGTGGGCAGTGGCAGGTCAGGAGGGGGGTGGTGGGAACGCACGGTGAGCAGCCCTTTGGGGTTCAAGCCAGGAACCAGCGCAGCAGAGAAAGCTTCATGCCAGCATCGTTCAGAGGCAGATGTCCTAACAAACAGGAGATGAGTTAGATTCCTAAGCAAGTTCAGAGGTGCCAAACACTGATTTTTAGAAGGTTTTCCAATGAAGTCTGCCTGGCTCTTTTAATGTAGCTGCTTCAGTATAGGACTACAAAATTTTAAACCTGGATCCTAGGAAGAGGTAGTAACTGCATTTTGAGAAGTATTATAAAAATCTTCCTGCATTGTCGTGACTTGAGGCCAGCAAATTGGTATTTCTGCATGCAAGCGCTTCTCTTTCAGGCGGTCACAGAGACCAGTATTCATTGAACCACAAGGAGGGAAGTATCACCCTCGCTGATCTGCACTACTTCCAGCTATTCATATTCTTCACAAGTGCCGTTCTCTTTCAGTGCTGAGTAGTGTAGCACATGAGTTTTGCCTCTAAGATTACTTAATCTGTGTAATTTTTGGCAGACAGTCTCTAATTCTGAGGATCAGTCCATGGGGCAGAACCTAAATGATGCCTCTGCTAAAACATTTGTTTTCCTGCTGTCTACTGGAAAAGTCTGTTTCTCCTCAGAAACATTTGTTTTCCTGCTGTCTACATGCAGTTGGCTAGAACTGCCACTCCATTACTCAGGTCTACTGGAAAAGTCTGTTTCTCCTCATAATTTATAATTTAATCAAGAATTTTTAAATCCTACCTTCTATACCAGTTCTTGTTTGTAGCTTTTGCCTCATGGACTCTTAAGTCAGCCAAGAGGAAATGGCTAATACAAGTATTTTGTTGGCTCATAGACCATCCACCTAGATCTGGCGACCTTTTTCTCTGAGATCAGTCAGAAGATGCTCTATTTTCTGAAACTGTTGTAGTATTTTTTTAATGTCTTAAGAAACTGTGATCTTTCCAGACAGTGTGACTCATGTCTTTTGCATCTTCTTATTATTAAAAGTGAGAATAATTTCAAATACAGAAGCCTGGTTCTTATGCTATAGTTATACCTATAGCTAAATTCAGAGATTATTTTGGACATGGTGTCACACATTGTTTGATCACATTGAAGTTGGTGAGAACAGTAGCTGTTATCAGCAACTCTGTAAAATGAGTATTTTGCAGAGGAGTGATGCTGCTTGTATTTCAAGTGCGTATTAAGCGTATAAGACAAGTTATTGATATTGAAAGTGCTGCACGCTGGTGCCTGTGATAGCAGCCATTGCTATCAGATCCTTGCCCCAAAGATGATTATTGTCAGTGCGTCACACCAGCCTCAGTATGTTCAGTAAATTTTAAGATCTTGCCATCTTCAGCTGACATATTAAAAATAATAATCTGAAAAGTTTACAGTGGATCTTGACACTGCATAGCATTCTGTATTTGTCTCTAGTGGGGCAGCTATTTCAGGCATGGAGCATCAGACATTTTTGAAAGAATATTTGTGGTGGTAATATTACATTATAAGAAAGAAGTTGCTGAATTACTATCTTAAAAATAAAACACAAACAGGACTTGCTTGTGAAAATAGTTTGCTGGAAGCCAAAGTTTTGGTATCCTGTCTAAAGGCAACTCCCTACTTCAGCTTTATTTGTATTGCAAGTAGCTGTTACAAAACTAATATATGTGCTAGCAAATTAGCAATGATTAGTGGAGTCTTTTTTTCACTTCTGGCAAGAAAAGTTTTGTTTCCTGATAGATGGAGAAAGGAAAAATTACTGCTAAATTGTCTTGGTAGCAATTTACAAACATTTTGCATTTGCAAACAACTACAGCACATTATAACAAAATGAAACATTACCTGATTTCAGATAGATTTGGGGCGGGGCAGGATTTTCATCCTTACTGTTTTATTTTGTTCTTTTCTCTGTGTTTAACACCTCCTTAACCGCAAGAATTTTAGTCTCTATTTATCAATCTTTCTTCCATGCTAGGGTAAATACTGACTTGTTTTTCTCATTGCCTAAATTTCTTTGTTCCTTGGCCTTTTAGGTGAAAGCTAAACACAGTAAACCAAAAAAAAAAAAAATCAGAGTGATCTCAGCTAGAGAACCAGCACGATTAACATATTGCTTACAAAGAGTTTCATATCTCTGCTGTGATTACTCTATCCTTGGCAGGTTTCTAGACAACACACAAAATCTTCAGTATATTTTTGGTAACTTAGAAATGCTAACTAATCTCACATTAATAAGCAACATTAGCAACTTTTGTAGATGTGTTTGGGGGAAAAGTCTAACGCAAATGAAACTGTAGGATATACAGTAATAAAGTTACATGTCTAAGCATAGCCGCAATGCATACACGCTGGGCACAGATCGTTAGAGTCTATAAAGCTGGTTAGACTGCAGTTTTCCTCTTCAGCAGATCCTTTGTTGCTGATTTCTCCTAAGCCTACTCCTAACATTTGGCATACAAAATTCTCTGAGGTCTGACATGTAGAAAGTCATCATCAGATTTCATGAGTATTTAAGAATTTCTATGTATAAATTACTTGCTAGTCTAAATTATTGGTATCTTACTAGTATTTCTTTTTAAATAAAGACTAAAATACTCTCTGCTTCCATGAACACCCTTCACAATCCTGACTTTAACTTTGCATTGTGTCTTTACCATTGCTTTTCATAGGTGCATTCTGCATCCCTCTGTACATCCCTTACAGCCTTACAGGGAAATGGCAGTTGGGAAGAAACGTCTGCAAGTTCTGGCTTCTTATGGACTACCTTCTCTGCACAGCTTCAGTATTTAACATTGTTCTCATCAGCTATGACCGTTTCCTGTGTGTTACTAAAGCTGTAAGTACCCTGTTTATAGTGCCTCTGAGTTTTGTCTCAAGAATGCGGGACGTGGACCTTGCTGGATCAAATCTTGATATTAGTGATATACCTCTTGTTGCATTAGTGAGCATAGGCCCAAATTAACTCAAAACAAGAAATCTCAAAATTGTGCTGGCATGTGAAAATTGCTATATTTTTGCAGGCAAATGAGGTGAATATTCTGCACTGAGCACACTCCAGGCCAGAGACAGTGCATCAGCTCTTTTCTCCTCGTTCTTGCTATGGGCTGCTGTTGTGCTACTAGAGAAAAACTGGAGGGGTGAAGAAGGCAAGGGAGGAGTGTGGCAATAAAAAAAGAGGGCTAAGGAAAGAGGAAGTTTGAAGTAAACTGTGAATGCCTGAAATTAGGCATGAGAGAAATAGGCACTGGTGATATGGCAGTGATATGAAGTACACTGGGGATATGCAGGAATAAACTCTCAGTATGTGGAGCAGGTGCTACACAGGACTTCAGGTGCATGTTGTGTCTCTGTTTTCTGCAGAGAGCCCTGTGTACTTTATAGCTTGGTTCATATGAAGGATGGAGCTCAGCTTTTCTCACCAGTAATTGTGTTAGCTGAAGTGGTAGTGAAATGCGTGGGAGAGATAAAGGTTCCAGTTCTTTGGTAATTTATAAGGATGTCAATATGACATCTTATGTTACATTTCAGCTTTTTAAAAAGTATTAGGATTATTATACTTGTGTTCTTTTTATTAATTATTATTATTTTCTGTTATTTAATTTTATTTCAAGGAAAAAAATCTGGGAAATTAAACACCTGAACATTTTATATTTAGGAAACATTACATTGTAAAGGCAAAGACTCAACACTTACAAAGGGCCAAATTAAAAGCACCTATGCAAATTCAATTAAGACCTATGGATATTTATATGATAGTCTTTAATGACATTCATAAATATATGTGTGTGTGTGTGCGTATATTTAACTGGATGTCTGACTTTGCTCCCAGAGTAATAGATTCTTCCTAACATCCTACCAAAGGGAATGAGCAGGGCATGAGAGCTATAAAATATTTGCCTCTTCTAAATCATATAGTGAAAAATATGTTCTAGGCCAGGAGCTGGGGGAGACAGGAAGAAAAGGGATGATTTCATGGCTTTGTCAGCTAAGGGCTGCAGAACTGGAGTCCATCCCTAGCTCCTCATGATATATATGGTAAATGCATTTTTCAAAGGTGTCTGTTAAATATAGGTGGCACATTTTCTGTCAGTTATACAGTCCCATTTCCCTGTAAAATGCTGTCAAAAGGCAGTGTGGTTGTCAGCAAATGGGAGTCATGCACCGAGCAACTGTAAAATGCTAATTACTCTGGCGAATCAGACTGCAGATGTCTCAAACAAAGCACCACAAATTAAGAGATGCTTCTGACACTGATGGATGATTGTGTTTCATTGCCTGGACCAGGACCCTAGCACTGTTACATTAACCTGTCAAGAGACACTCCTATGCTATGTCAACATCAATAAATTAAACATAACTGGGGACGTTCCTGGGTGAGCTTCAGCTGTTCAGCATAGCTGTAGCTCAGAATTATCAAACAGTATAGCTGCTCCTTTGCTGGTATTTTTGTGGCTTCCAAATATATCTAAAGGTATGATACTCTTCTTTGCTTCTCACAGGTGTCCTACCGAGTGCAGCAGGGAGCAGCCTCCAGCCCCGTTGTGAAGATGGCGGCCATCTGGGCCTTGGCCTTCCTGCTCTACTGCCCGGCAGTTCTCTTCTGGGAGCTCGTGGCCGGCTGCAGCGTGGTGCCGCCGGACGAGTGCTACGCCGAGTTCTTCAACAACTGGTACTTCCTGCTGTGCGCCTCCACCGTGGAGTTCTTTGTGCCGCTGGTCTCTGTGACCTATTTCAATGTGCACATCTTCCGGGATATCCATAAGCGTCAGAGACGTGGCAGTGTGTTGGACAGCGAGCCGCCCAAGAGCGGTGGCCTGTCTTGGAGATCTTGCCTCCTGCCAAGGCAAGGCTTATCTTCTTCGGAAGCAGAGGACAGTAGTTCTTCCTCTATGAGGCCAAAGAAAGAGTCTTTGGTAACTGTAAGCTCACTGCCATCCAGAGGTAATTCTGTAACCCCAGAGAATGACCTCTCCGCTTCTTTCTGTGCGAAGACCAGATCAAAACTGCAACAGGATAAGAAAATTGCAAAGTCACTTGCCATAATTGTGTGCATCTTTGCCATTTGTTGGGCCCCGTATACGTTACTAATGATAATTCGTGGGGCCTGCCAAGGAACCTGTGTCCACAACTCCTTGTATGAAATAACCTTTTGGCTTTTATGGCTCAATTCATCTTTGAATCCATTTCTCTATCCTCTCTGTCATGTTAAATTTCGAATGGCTTTCACAAAAATATTATGTCCACAAAAGTTTGCAGCACTGAGATCAAGATCTTTTTAGAAGGGGAAAAAAAAAAACATATTTACATCTGAAGAGCTGTTGTAGTTCTACTGAATGAGGGATGTAAATGGCCAGGGTTGGTAAGCAGAGGTAATATCTTTCGGTAGGTTAATCTAGATAGAAAGGTAACAAAAATCTCTGGGTAAATATGTCCTTCTTCAGGGAAGCTTCCATGTCCAGAGACCATGTACTTTTCCCGGCTATTTCAATTGCCCAGGTAAATTATATTGCCTTTCTCTTCAAAGTTTGCCTTGACTTACCCTGTCAGGCCATCCACATTATTTTAATTCTGTTTGTTGAAGATATTATTTTCAATAACATTATAGATTTTGTTTGTGTTCACAGATGACATTAGTTAATAATGAAATATGGATGGGTACTGCTATAGCTGGTATTGCAAAAGATGTAGATAAGGAAGAAGATGCAGATAAGGAAGAAGATTGTTATATCAA